GTGTTGGGTCGTTCTTGAACGATTCGTTCATCTTGAATGAATCTTTAATGTGACTCGGGAAGAACGAGTCGTCTCGGGGAGTGATTCGTTCAGTCGCGCATGCGCAACATCCTATAGGTTCTGTACTAGAATTAGTCAAGTAGTCTTTTCTTGACTTCGAGTCTTCGGGTTTTCCGAGTCGTTCGTTCATCACATGACAGCCCCATACGCTTTAACCAATGCAGTCTGAGCCGGAAAGAGAATTGATTAGTTCAACTCTCGAGTCTTCGTGTTTGAGTCGTTCATTCATCACGTGACAGCCCCATAAACCCAAACCCGAAGACTTGTCAGATAAGAGGTGAGGTGAGCTAATCATAGACTGAAGACCCAGGTAAACAATGAATTAATCTTTTCTGTTTCTTATAGCAGTTTTGTATTGTTTGTAGTGTGATCAACGTTTGCGTAAGTAGTAGTCGTATTAGGGAAGTAACATTTTAATAATATTTTGCTAAAATGAACGAAATGACTCGAAAAAAGATTCGTTCATTTTGCTGAACGAGACTCAAAGGTCCGAGTCGGTAAAATGATCCGAACTTCCCATCACTAATGTCTCGTCCAGTCAGCGGTGAGTAATCCCAAACCAATGGCGCTGTCTCAAACTATACCTACCTCTTCCGGTTTGTCTGATTTGTCGTTGTGTTTTCTGACTTGTTATAATGTTTTCTGAATTGTTGTTGTGCTTTCTGAATTGTTATTTTGTTTTTTAGACGTGCATTTGCGTTTGTAATTTGTTATTTTGTTTTCAGAATTGTGATTTGTTTTGCACTTCACGGTCACCATAGTTTTTAGAACTGATATTAGATTTGCATTTGACTAATGTTATCAGATAATAGTACAATTCAGGGAATGTCACTTGAAATGTATCATATGTAATGTTTTGTACAGCTTAAATAAAAATGACTAGTTTTTGTGTGGAAAAGTTAGTCAGCCCCCGTTTTCAATATTTAACTACTTTGTTATTTTTCTCACGTTATTCTTGTATAATATTTTGTAACACTGAACGTCGGCTAGTGTCTTTAAGTATGATGATAGATAATTAATTACCTGGTGAGTTTGTATTACGAAAATAGATAATTATATTTTCAACTGTAAGTCATTGCTTCAAGAATTATTTTAAACAGCACAAAGTGGAAACAGTTTATTCGGCGTAAAACCAAGGGCCCCATTAACCAGGTTGTCTGTGGTTACTATAGATTGCTTGGATTGATTTCCACTTGTATATCAGTTAGCAATCCCAAGAATTTATAGATTTAAACGATTAAGTTAGACCTGTTTTTTGTGCTTTCTGAGCCCCGTGCGCCCCCAAGCGTACGACCCCTCATTGTGCATAGTTATTAAAGTCAAATACAACAATTTTAATGAACTAGTTTTTACTCATGTTTAAGATACATTTTATAATAATCTTTATAATCGTTCGCTATATTATAATCATTCAACAAACTAGACGTCCTCTTCTGACCTTACGTTATAATTATTGGTTGCGTAACAGACTCACAGACAGTCACATGGTGCTAAATTACAGTAGCGATCACTCATAGGCTTTACAAGCTGTCACTCAAACGACCAACCAATCCTGTGCGTCCGCTGAGGCGGGCGTTCCTTGCATTACCTCTGGTGTTTTTTTTTTTGTTTGTTTGTTTGTGATCACTCATAGGCTTTACAAGCTGTCACTCAAACGACCAACCAATCCTGTGCGTCCGCTGAGGCGGGCGTTCCTTGCATTACCTCTGGTGTTTTTTTTTTGTTTGTTTGTTTGTTTGTTTTTTATTACCTCTGGTGTTTACATCCAAACACGAAGTACTTAAGTAACTTCAACATGTCAGCCTCCATAGTACGGGCGACAGTGAGGGCGGTTAGCAGACGGAAAATACTGCCAACAAGAGCAGCTTTAACGCTGGTGAGTGCTCAGTGTATGTACAACACGATGAAGAAACCGAACAAGCATTTAGTTCTCAAATACTCGAGATCGCATGACAGAAGTCTTTAGTCGTAGCCAGGGCTCAGTTATCTGATTAATAACAGTGTAATAATAGACAGCCTCGTCCATTCTGACACATCCAGACGGAGATTCCAATGTAACAGCAGGTTAGATCTGACTTTCATTGTGGTTGTGTTGTTCAAGTTGACATCAAGGTCAGTGTTTATGGGCAGGTTAGCCGTTAGCAGATGCTTGGAGAGCCGAATTAAGTGCTTATGTGCTACGTTCCTGCATAAGAACCTTCTAGATTTACCTCGATGTGCTTTACAAATATCATTTTGGGCGTATTTAATAACAGCCGCTGTTTAGGGTGAAGTCAGGAAAGCAGGATTTCAGTGATCTTATCCATGTTGCTGTGATCAGATAATAACTGCCCTATCATTTAGGTTTGTTTTTAAAGGGGTCATATGATGCTGCTAAAAAGAACATTATTTGGTGTATTTGGTGTAATGAAATGTTTATGCAGTTTAAGGTTCAAAAAAACACATTACATTCCACATACTGTACATTATTGTTTCTCCTCTATGCCCCGCCTTTCTGAAACGTTTTTACAAAGCTCATCGGTCTGAAAAGCAAGGTGTGCTGTGAGAAGGCCAAACAAAGTAGTTTCGCTTTCACAACAAAACACTCAGCGTCTCCACGACATGGCGGCGGCAACAACAGTACTACAGCGCGAATAAAAGTTACGCCTTCTTTCTTTGCGTGAACATTTGGCCAGCGTTATGCAAATCTTCCCACATAGTGATGTAGACATGTGGGGGCGTGTTAGAACGAGCCGTTTTAGGTAGGTGTGGCTGACTCTTAACTTTTATAAAGAATATCTCTTTGGATTTGAGACTTTAGTCTTCTTTAGTCTTCTTTATGCACCAAGAGTTTTAACACTCCAAAGAGAAAGGAAAAATTTAAATAGCATCATATGACCCCTTTAAAATAAATTAAATGTGTATTTTCAATGTTTTTCCCACTAGTCTAAAAGGAGACATAGCCCAAAATTGACAAGTGCTTAAAGACCTTAAACCAGCAAACTTCCAGTTATCAGATAGACTATCTCAAACTTGTGGGTGTGCTAGTTTGCCATTGTCAATGGAAGCGCAGGCATCTTATTTATGTTTGTAGCATCTTCTCTTGTAAAACAGAACATGGAGTCACACGTTAGTTAGCAGAAGGAGCTCAGACATCACACAAAATGGTTTCATCTGGTTTCATATCCAGTCACCCAGAAATTCACCAGACATCACATCGCCAAATTCCCTAAGAAGCTGTTTGTGATTGAAGGAGAAATATATGAAAGTTTGGGTGAAAAGCACTAAAATGTGAAGTTAATAGGATAGGAAAACAACAGGACAGTTGTCAGATAAACTATATTCTCTTTCATTTGCTTTTTTATTTATTTGAAAACTTTTGTGATTTTAGTTGGAGAGTCTTCTAAACATCTTCAGTTGATTAAAGCAATGCATAAGTTTCAACATTTTTAATATTTCATTGATTTAAATTTGTAGTTGAAAGTATCATTTGAATATTGGCTTTATATCAAATTTTAGAGGCGAAAATCTAAAAGAGTGCATTAGCAAATATTTGATAACTTTTAATCTAAATTATGCTGACTTTACATCTGTATTTTGGTGAAAAAATCATCTTGGTCATCGTGATTTGAAACCAACATATCTTTTTCAAATGACATTTCACACTGAGAAAGAAAGGAACAAGAACCATTACTGGGATGGTAGTTTTGCAAAAAAAAAAAAAATACTACTATGTACCTTTTTAGATACCAATATGTACCTTTACGCTACTAATATGCACACTTCTGAGGTAAAACGGTACAAAAGTGTACCTTTTGAAAAGGTACTACTGACCCAGTGACAGCTTTTGTACCTTTATTTCTGAGTGTTTTATCATACTGAATTTGTCAAATTATTACAATGCCACACTTTCTTTCATCTGCCATAAATAATCACTGAATGCATTTTTTATTCTCAGACACCTTCAGCTGTGAATAAAGTCAAGCAACTTTTACAGAACAAACCAGAATATGTGAGTACTAGTTTTATTATTTGGCATTAACATCTGCAGCCTCAGTGATACATTTTTCCTGTCTCATTCTTTGGATTATATATTCACCTGTCTTCAAACAGATTGGCCTCAAAGTTGGTGTTCGAACCCGAGGTTGCAATGGCCTCACTTACACACTAGACTATACTAAAGAGAAAGACAAATCAGACGAGGAGGTGTTAGAAGATGGTGAGGAACACAATAACATTATTATATCTCATTTACACTACCGTTCAAAAGTCAGTAAGATATTTATGTTTTTGAAAGAAGCCTCTTCTGCTCATCAAGGCTGCATTTATTGGTTCAAAAATGGAGTAAAAACAGTAATATTGTTAAATATTATTACAATTTAAAATAAGTTTTCTATTTGAATATATTTTTATAATGTAATTTATTGCTGCGATCAAAGCTGAATCATTAGTCCAGTCACATGATCCTTCAGAAATCTTTCTAATATGCTGATTTGCTGCTCAACATACATTTTTCAGGATTCTTTGGTGAACAGAGTGTTCAAAGAACAGTTGTTATTTGAGATAGAAATCTGTTGTAACATTATAAATGACTGTACTGTAGACTTTGATAATTTTAATGCATCCTTGATGAATAAAAGTATACATTTTTAGGGTGTGTTCACACTTGTAGTTCGGTTCGTTTGGTTCATTTGGTCCGGACCAAAAAGGAAAATGATACATTTGGTCCTGGTCCGCTTAGCGTTCACATTGGCATTTTTGACAGTGAACCTAAAGACACCGAACCTAAAGGCATAGTGATACGTTCACAACCTGATTGATCGACTTGAATGACGTATATATCGTGACGGAACTCACCGAACACCCCAAACAAAAGGTGCGTTAGACTTAAAGCGGCGCTGCGTGTGTATGATATCAAAGCACCCATTAACCGATCGGTCCGCTCAGCGCCACTTTAAATCGAACACACCTAATGCCATCTGCTGGACTAAGCGTGCGCATTCTTGCGTGTACATATAATTTTATTTCCACCACCTGCAAACTCACAAGGAGCTCATAAAAGGCACTTTACCTCATCGTTGCTCCACGTTTGCCCTCTGCTCATTTTGTTTTGGTTACACTGCATCGTCAAATCATGTCGCATAGCGTCGCATCTTGTCATTACTTCCTGTTTTTGGTTCATTTAGAAGTATTTGGTCCGTGTTGCGTTCATATATCATTCGAACCGCACCAGAGTTCGTTTGGAAGCGGACCGAGACCCATCTTTTCAGTGGTCTCGGTCCGCTTGTTTGGTGCGCACCAGGGTTCGGATGGCAGCGTTCACACATGCTCAAATGAACCGCACTAACAGAGCAATCGCACCAGGGTTCGTTTTAATCGAACGAAACATGCCAAGTGTGAACGCACCCTTAAATACTAGTGTATATGATGTAGGGCTGCACAATTAATCGAATTTCTAATCGCGATTACAGTTATGGATGCCACAATTACATAATAGTTCAAAGCGGCAATTAATCGTTCAAAGTCCACTTATGTTATTCTGCACGCTTAAGATGCGTTTTTTTCTTTCTACATGTTATCTTAAGGGTTTTTCCCATTATTTTAATTTTAGTTTTAGTATAACATTATAATACCATTCATATTTTTACTTTTTTATCATTTAAAGAAGAAACCAATCCGATGTATGTTTGACATTTGAGGCTTAATGCTATAGAAAAGCACTAAACGTTTTTCAGTTAGTGTTTTCAGCTTGTTTATTTTCATATAAAAATACGGCATGCAGTTGCATCAAACAATGGTATAAACCTCATTCTATGTAAATTGTGATAATCGTAATTAATAATCGCAATTACAATTTCAACGGAATAATCGACAATTATGATTTTTGTCATAATCGTGCAGCCCTAATATGATGTAAATTGCACACGTGTACACAGAAATGTCATTGATGTAAATGTTTGTTCTTCAGGCGTGAGAGTGTTCATAGAGAAGAAGGCTCAGCTGACGCTGCTCGGCACGGAGATGGATTTTGTTGAAACTAAACTTTCCAGCGAGTTTGTGTTCAACAATCCCAACATCAAAGGCACGTGCGGCTGTGGGGAAAGCTTCAGCATATGAACCTCGCCGCACGTTTGGCTTCATCTAAAGCTTGAGCCCTCCAGGACATCCAGTCCATATCCTAGATTCAAACATCCATCTTGAAGATTTGTGGGTAAAGAGCTGGAGAAAGAGACTGATATTTAGTGGCCTGTTTGGCCATCATGTCCTGTGCTGCCTCCGTTCACCTCGACACAAACCCAGAAAAGCCCTGCTTACAAATACAGTCGTTAACTTAAAAATATGTTTTGTTTGTTCATTTCATTGCTTGAACACACTTTATTGAGCAGCTTGATGTGTGTTTAATGTGCCTGTGTCTTATGCGGCTCTGAGGAGGGTTCCAGTTACACTCCATGTTAGTGGTTCAAGAGGAATTAATTGCTTTGGTGTTTTCTCAGAAAGTTGTGTGTCATCCAGTCGCTCTGATAGGGATTCATATTTGATAATCCAGTTATCCTGATGAGCTGAAACTGCTGGATGTCGTAACACGTCCTCCTTACAGCAACAACCTAAATCTACACCTCAAGAAATCTGCAGCTGCTTCCTCATGGCTGTTTTGTGCACATTTGGTGGATTGTGGACCAGCAGTGCAAATCTGTGGTAATCTACATAATATTGAAAGGTTTCTCTGTCTGGTGGATGTTGAGCGAGTATTAACTTTGTACTTTCAGCATGCCACGTTTTGTCATTTGCTCTATAATGTGATTAACAAGCAGCACAGGAACTGATGCCAAGTTTTGAAATGCAATTGTTTGACTTGAATTTATGTACTTCATATTGTAAAATCCCTGTCTTTTAAAGCACAAGTAAACTTCCATTCTACATATAAGCAGGCTGGTTCTTGAATTAAATGCCTTTTATTGTCCTGAATGTGGCACTGTTTTCTAATGTCCCATTGCATCTTAACATTACAGTCCATTCTTTGACTTTAAAGAAATAATAAAAAGTCTCCAGTATAATCTTAATTTAAAAAAATGATCATAATTTATTGCTGTATGACATCACAGCATTTACAGATATGTGTTCATTTTATCAATGCAGATGATGAAAATATTTGGTTTATTTTTTTAGAACTCAGATTTTTTTTTTCTCTGTTAAGCATGCGTTGTCAAAATAATATAAACTAACTGGTTTATAAAAATAACATTCAAAGTTTTATTTTATAGAATTATCTATACATAAAGTAATGGAGTAGAATTTACCTGTTAAAGTTAATAATCAGTTTTTACTTAGAAATTGCTGGTAAATTTAACAGCATGTTTTCAAGTAAAGGCTACACATAATTCTTGGTGGCTTTAATTAGAAATTCCCAAGTAAATCTTGCTTATTCTTTTTCAAGTAAATTATACCTATACTTTGTACATTTTTCTTAAGTAATGCTTAAAAAGAATACTATAATTCTAATGCTTATATATATATATATATATATATATAATAAAATAATTATTTTATTTTATTTAAAATATGCTTTGATATAAGCATTACTGCCTAATATGAGAAACTTTTGTCTGCCAAATCAAAGTTGTGTGGTCCAACCAACATGCAGACAACTCTTTTATACTCTCAACTATTTTTGTCTGTATGTTGGATTATATTATATTATACACACATACATTATATATATATATATTCAAGTATGGTTTACTTTAAAGGGATAGTTCCAAAAATTAAAATTTGCTGAAAATTTACTCACTCTATCAGGCCATCCAAGATGAGTTTGTTTCTTCATCAGATTTGGAGAATTACAAGTAATCCACATGACTCCAGTCAATTAACATCTTGTGAAGTGAAAATCTGTGTTTGTAAGAAAAAAAAATCATTAATTGTGTGAACTCAATTAATTTCACTTAATTTTCACTTCACAGTATCATAACATTGTGACATGACTGTCTAGACACATAAAACAACTGCACTGACATTAGTATTTTTAATAAGGCTCAAAGATCAGTCTGTACTATCTGCTTTCTTTATATCTTAACTGCAGCTTTGAGCTGCCACAATATACAAGAAACGGTCTCTTTAGTGACTCCCACAGATATATATTAATATGTGAAGGGAGCTGATAAGATTTAGTTATTGCTGGACTGTTATGTCTGAATATGGTCCAGACAGGAAGGAAGGGAAAGACTCTGCTTTGCTCCTGTTTTCTTTTTGGACACAGAGTTTCCTCACATCTGCAGGAGTTATTGATCTCCTATTTCTTTCTGTCTTCCTGATCACACAGGTGTCCATCCGTCATGACTGGGTTTTGCATTTGTTTGCTTGCCTTTACTTGTGTCTTCAGAAGAGTTTTATGTTTTTATTAGTTTTTCATCGTCACAGATCTAAATAATTGTGGTCTACAGCTGATCAGGCATCTATAAATAAATAAGGAGCGAGTCATTAAAATCACTTAAAGGGGTCATAGGATGCGACATGCACTTTTACAAGTTGTTTGAACTGAAATGTGTGTTGGCAGTGTGTGTACACCACCCCCCTATAATGATAAAAATCCTCCCAGTGTTTTTTTTTAAATCTGGTTAATTTGTTTTTGAAGGGAATGCGCCCCCGATCTACATAAATGCGTCTACATTCGCGCGAATCATTCATGATCCAGCCTCATCTACAAAAGAAGTGAGTGTAAGGTTTTGTAATTAATCTTTGCAAATGGCCTTTCCTAATAATGTGCTAATTAGCAGGTTTCATGATGAATGCGGCTAAAGTAAACAGTCCCTCAGAGAGCGGCTCGGAAGAGAGGGGCGGGGTCAGCACAGCTCATTAACATTTAAAGGAAAATGCTACAAAAACGGCTTGATCTGAAAAGAGCTGTTTTTGACAGGGTAAAAATGTGTTTTTTACACTACCATTGAGGTATTTTAACCAAACTATGTTACAGACTTTTCATTAAGACCCTAAAGAATCATATCAACTTGTGGAAAATGGGCATCCTATGACCCCTTTAAACTCATTCAACAACACAGGGATCTGTCAAGATTAATTTCACCCTTCAACTATAATGCTTTTGTGAGCAAACTTGATTGTTGAGTCATTTAGCCTATTGGATTACATCTCAGTCGTTCTACTTCAAAATGTCACACTTAATTCAAAGGGTTGCTTGCCATTTCTTTTGTAATTATTTGTGAAATTTACTAGCAGTTTCTGTGAGAAAATTTCAATCGTATTTGTTTGCATAAATACAGATTTTATCTGTGTGAAATATCCAATTCAGTTAATAATGCTATTGTTTGTGAAAACCTTTTTTCGCTGTTCTTATGGAGTTTTTTTTATATAATTCATCAATTGTTTTAACATTGTTGAAAAGTTGTGAAATAGCTTATATATTTTAAATGTGATTATATTATATTATTATATCATATTATATTATATATAGAGATACCTGCAAAGCAGTACTGTAAAATGAGGATGCTGTCAAAAAATAATTTCATAAATAGATTTATATATATATAATATTTTAGTTTTAGGCCGACAAAATCATGCTTCATGCAGTTTTCCCCTGACGATGCAGAAACGACACCAGCTGGGACTGTTGTCATGGTAACGCGTGTACGCGGGCTGTGAAGCGCCCTACAGTGCGCGCTAAAACACCCGGGAAAGACCCCGTTTACAAGCACCATTTCACCTCACAACACCGCATTCGACTGAGACACCGCACGCTACAGCGGGATGATGATAATGAGGGGAAATCTTTCAGTACAACATCCATTCCAGCAGTAGAGCATCATGTGCGGCAGTTAAAGTGAAAGGAGTTTGTTTCTTCAGAGATGTCTGCGCTGAGTGACTCTGGCTTTGAGGAAGATCTTCACACTTCTCCAGCAGCGGCTTCAAGCGTCAGACTGACCTCAGACCTGCAGGAGTGTGACTATGAAGAGAGCTGCTTCATCATCCAGAGACACAATGAACTGCAGTTTCTAGCGCAGAACTGCCTCGCGCGACAACCGCAGGTCAGAAATCACACCTTCAATATTATTTGTATTATTAAAAGAAACGAATGCTTCTATTCAGTAAGGTGTGACAGTAAGTACATCTATAATGCTACAAAAAAATTCTGTTTCAAATAAATGCTGTTCGTTTGAACTTTATATTCATCAAAGCATCCTGAAAAACTCAATGTGCAGTTTCCACCAAAAATATGAAGCTGCACACTGATAATCAGAAATGTTTCTTGAGCAGCAAATCAGCTTATTAGAATGATTTCTGAAGGATCACCTGACACTCAAATTTCAGCTTTGCAGCACAGGAATAAATTACATTTTACATTATATTTATATAGAAAACACTTATTTTGAATTATAATAATATTTCACAATATTTCAGTTTTTACTGTATTTTGATCAAATAAATGGTTTAAAAAATAAGAACAACACAAAAATATTAAAACACCAACATTTTGAACTGTATTATGACAATAATTTTTAATGTTTAATGCACTTAATTTTGTTAATAGCAAAGAATGGAATATATTTTCCTTTTCTTTGTAATTTTATATCAATATGGTACAACATGATCCTATTTAAATCAATGTGATAAATGAGTTAGGTTAAAAGTAATCTAAAAGTAATCAAAAAGTAGTCTGATTATATTACCGAAAATGTGTAATTTAATGAATTATGTTAATAACTACAATTTTTGTCATGTAATTTGGAATCAGTAAGGTGGGGTATATATATATATATATATATATATATATATATATTGGTTTGGTGTATACAAATGAGTGAAATTAGTAATCTTGTGACAACTAGCCCCTATTATTGTAAATTTTTATCAATAATTTTTACATGAATATTTAATTTCCTTACAGATTACAGCAGAAGCTCGCAGTAAACTGGTCAGCTGGCTCATAGCGGTACACAAACAGCTCAAACTGTCTTTCGAATCATGCTGCTTGGCTGTTAATATCATGGACCGTTTCCTGATCACAACCTCAGTAGCTGCAGACTGTTTCCAATTACTGGGAGTGACATCTCTGCTGATCGCCACAAAACAGGTGCAGCGCTTGTTTACTTATCACTTTCATTGTAGTTATAAAAAATAGCACAGAGTTAAGAATTATTTCTGGCAATACTGGTCATTACATGGATTTTTTGTATTATTTTAATATGTTCCTTGAGGTTTACTTATAATGTTAATAAAGTGCATTAGTTTAGTGCATTCGTTTTAGTTTTTTGCAAAAAAACAAATAATTATGTGTAAAAATGACAACCCTCTGTCTAAAAATGACCTGTTTTAAGGGGCGTGTCCTTTAAGGCTTCTCAGTAAATGGCCACTGTTATGATTGGCTAACGTCATTACATAGCAAACAGTTTCAACGCCCCCTCGTTGCATGTGTGTTCGGACAACATAATCAAAATAAAATGGCCATTTCCAGACAAAGCATTATGAAATCATTTACTTACAGTTTGTGATACAGCTGCAGTCAGATATAGACCCCTTTATTCAAAATAAATGTTGCATTATATATGCAGATAACATAATATTAATGAAATAAAAGGCCGTTATATTTAGAGAGACCCATTCATTACTGTTTCTTAACACACTTAAATGCCATTTTAAATGTATTTGTAATGTATTTGCTAAATGTATTAAATTACAACTTTATAACAAATCTGTAATTACGAATATATTTAAAGGGGTCATATGATGATGCTAAAAAGAACATTATTTTGTGTATTTGGTGTAATGCAATGTGTTTACGCGGTTTAAGGTTGAAAAAACATAATTTTCCACATACCGTACATTATTGTTGCTCCTCTCTCCCCCGCCTTCCTGAAACGCATCGATTTTTACAGGCCAGCTATCCAGTGCGTTGTGATTGGCCGAATACCTCAAGTGTGTGACAGAAATGTTAAGCCCCTTACCATATTTGGAAACACACAGTGTCTCCACGATATACACATGTTTTCATTTAATTGCAATTAACATGCAGTTAAGTGGCTGAAAACATTACATTCAGTTTGCACTTAACTATTCTTTTAAAGTAGAAGTTAACAAGTTAACAATTTATTATGAAAATAGACCAATATGTAAATCTGAGTAAGTTGTGATTTTTGTGTTTTCCAGGTTGAAGTGTATTCGCCTCGCATCACACAGCTTCTGTCGCTTTGCTGCAATTCTTTTTCCAGAGAGCAGCTGTGCAATCTCGAATGCCTGATCCTTCTCAGACTCAATTTCAGACTGGCTGCACCTACCCTTGCTTTCTTTCTGGACTATTTCACCAGTCGCACTACTGGATATCAGACTGATGGAGCCATGGATAAGATGGTCACTACACAGGATAGAAATGTATGGAAGGAGCCTGAGAAGAAGTGGAAATGGTTGGCATGTAAAGTCTGTGAACTGAGTTTGGCTGACTACACATTTAACAAGTATATGCCGTCTGTGATTGTGCTGTGTGCTATGAAAGTGGCAAAAGATCTGCTGAAGACGCATTCAGTGCAGCCCAGAGACAACAACGCTGGCTCATCACAGTCATTGGAGTCTTTCTGTTTTCAAGAGTATCCAACATTTGAAGCTCAGCTTTTGTTTCAGCAATGCACAGAAGATCTGAAATTGTTGGTTTCTCTTAATCAAGATGCAGTCCAGGACTTCTTATCATTATAAATCATTATATTAGTTAATTCCACAAAATGATCACACTGACAATTTGCTTAAGTAATTCACCTGAAGAAAGTTTGCAAAAAATGCAAAGATACTGTAGTGACTGAATTTTTGCTATGAATTTCTCTTGAATTTTTCTGGAGACCTGTAATACTCCATATGGGTACATTTATAATACACATAAAACAACTTGTAATGCAGTCAAGCAGTATTTATCCCAAAATGTATTTATGCAAAAGTAAGGTTTTATTTTAAAGCATATTTTATATTATGCCCCTTTTTACAATATGTAATATAAGTCTCAAGTTTCCCCAGAATGTGTATGTGAAGTTTCAGCTCAAAATACTCCACAGATCATTTATTATTCATTTTGAAAATGCCTATTTTGAGTGGAAGCAGAAACACGCTGTTTTTCGTGCCTGCTTCTTTAAATGCAAATCAAGTGTGTGACAGAAATGTTAAGCCCCTTACCATATTTGGAAACACACAGTGTCTCCACGACATGGCAGCGCCAGCAACAAGGCTACTACAGCGAGAAAAAAAGTTACGCCTTCTTTCTTTGCGTAAACATTTTGGCGGTGTTATGCAAATCTTCCCACACAGTGACATAGATTTGTGGGGGCATGTTTGAATGAAGCTCTTTGGTTTTGAGACTTGAATCTTTGCAACTTTACAGAAAAATATGCACAAACAGCACAAACAGCTTGTAACACTCCAAACACAAAAACTCCAAGAAAAACATGAAATTGTGTCATATGATCTCTTTAAATACATGACATACAATTGACATTAAATTTCAGTAGTGCACTTTAACCATATTTCAAAGGCAATAGAAGTAATTATGAAATTGCATATATGTGAAATACATTTCCACAAAAATATTAGACAGCAAAACTGTTTTCAGCATTGATAATAAAAAGAAACGTTTCTTAAGCAGCAAATCAGCTTATTAGACTGATTACTGAAGTTGCTGAAAATTCAGCTTTGTCTTCACAGGACTAAATTACATTTTAATATATTTTATACTAGAAAACAGTTTTTTAACTGTACATTTGATAAAATAAATTCAGCCTTGTTGAGCATAAGAGACTTCTTTCAAAAACATTAAAGGAGACATATTATGCCCCTTTTTACAATATGTAATATAATTCTCTGGTGTCCCCAGAATGTGTCTGTGAAGTTCCAGCTCAAAATACTCCACAGATCATTTATTATAACATTTTGAAAATGCTTATTTTGAGTGGAAGCAGAAACACGCTGTTTTTCGTGCCTGTTTCTTTAAATGCAAATGAGCTGCTGCTCCCCGCCCCCCTTTTCAGAATAGAGCTGCTCCATTACAGCTGGTAGCTGCTAAAAAACATCTGTTTTGGTTCTGATTATCATGTTTATCGCGCTGAAATCATGCCTTTCGCCATGTCATTAGAGCTGGTACACCGTTGTCGCTTGCGAAATCAAATGATGGCATCGTGGATGGAAACTTACAGATTAAGGGGAGGTAATATTATAATAAGATCCCTTTGCAACGTCACTAGGGGAGCGAAATCAGACGCGCTCGTTTTTTCAGACGCTT